TGCTCGGCGGGGAGCCTGCTTCTCCCTCTCCCACTCCCCCTGCTTGTGTTCTCTCTCTCTGTCAAATAAATAAATAACATCTTTTAAAAAAAGAAGAAGAATGTGGAACATCATTTCAACTGAGGACAGGAGAGGTTTCTCTGTCAAAGGAACATTTAAGAAGAGATCTAAAGGGGCACCTGGCTGGCTCAGGCAGTAGAGCATGCAACTCTTGATCTTGGGGTTGTGCTTTCAAGTCCCACAATTGGGTGTGGAGCCTACTTAAATAAATAAATACACACATACCTACATACATACATAAAATAAAAGACCTAAAGAATGGGGCGCCTGGGTGGCTCAGTTGGTTAAGCGACTGCCTTCGGCTCAGATCATGATCCTGGAGTCCCGGGATCGAGTCCCGCATTGGGCTCCCTGCTCAGTAGGGAGTCTGCTTCTCCCTCTGACCTTCCTCCTTCTCATGCTCTCTGTCTCTCATTCTCTCTCTCTCAAATAAATAAATAAAATCTTTAAAAAAAAAAAAAAGACCTAAAGAATGAATGGGAATTGGCTAGGTGAAGGGTGGGAGAGCTTTCAAGGTGGTAGGAATGGCTTGTGCAAAGATCCTGTGGTAAGAAATTGGCTAGGTGAGTTTGAAAAACACAAGGCTAAGCAATCAAGGGACCAGATTTTGTAAGGCCTTGAAAGCTACAGTTAGTACTTTAGATTTTATTCTGAGTGGAGAATGAACTGTAAGGGAAGCAAGGATGGAAGCAGGAAGACCAGTGAGAAAGTGACTACCAGTAAGATGGTAACCTGGACTAGGGTGACAGATAGTCAATGGCAAAGCTTAGGTTTGAGGGACTAGCAGTAACAGGAACCAGAATTGCAGACTGGGGAAGAAAGATGAGAATTCTGGCTGAGCCTCCTCAGGTTGTTGAAACCTTTGCGACATCCCAAGGGGAAGGTCAAAGAGACAGAAGGGAGTTCCAGGTTCAAGACTAAAATCCGAGAGTCACAAGGGGGCACCTTGGTGGCTCAGTCGGTTGAACATCCACCTCTTCGTTTTGGCTCAGGTCATGATCTCAGGGTTGTGGGATCAAGCCCCGTGTCTGGCTCAGTGTGAAGTCGGCTTGTTCCTCTCCCTCTGCTCCTCCCCCCACTCGCACTTTCTCTCTCAGATAAATAAATACACTCTATAAAAAAAAAAATCTGAGGGGCGCCTGGGTGGCTTAGTCGTTAAGCATCTGCCTTTGGCTCAGGTCATGATCCCAGGGTCCTGGGATTGAGCCCCGCATCGGGCTCCCTGCTCTGCGGGAAGCCTGCTTCTCCTTCTCCCACTCCCCCTGCTTGTGTTCCCTCTCTCACTGTGTCTCTCTCTGTCAGATAAATAAATAAAATCTTAAAAAAAAAATCTGAGAGTCACCAGTGTCCATGCAGGTGGTATTTGTCTAGTTTGTTAACTCCATATTTTTATTATAATTTCTAGATGATTACTGCTATTAAACATTGTTGATTAGAGACCTACAACTGTTGGGCCCCTGGCTGGCTCAGTCAGAAGAGCTCGCGACTCTTGATCTTGGGGTTGTGAGTTTGAGTCCCACCCTGGATGTAGAGTTTACTTAAAGATCTTTTTTTTAAAAAGATTTTATTTATTTATTTGACAGAGAGAGACAGCGAGAGAGGGAACACAAGCAGCGGGAGTGGGAGAGGGAGAGGCAGGCTTCCCGCTGAGCAGGGGGCTGGATGCAGGGCTCAGTCCCAGGATCCTGGGATCATGACCTGAGCCAAAGGCAGATGCTTAACGACTGAACCACCCAGGCGCCCCGAGTTCACTTAAAAATCTTAAAAACAAAACAAAAGATTTCTAACTATCTTTGTATTTTTTTTTAATATTTTATTTATTTGAGAGAGAGAGTGAGAGAGAAGGGGTAGGGTCAGAGGGAGAAGCAGACTCCTCGCCAAGCAGGGAGCCCGATGCAGGACTCGATCCCGGGACTCCAGGATCATGACCTGAGCCAAAGGCAGTCGCTTAACCGACTGAGCCACCCAGGCGCCCTATCTTTGTATTTTTAATAACAGATAAAATTCTATTAACACAAATATTTGGTGGTTGGCCTTCTAACAGGCAATCTGGCCAAATTCTCATACTAAAACAGTTTGCTGATCCTTTTAGTTTTTCCTTGAAGATGATCCAAATGGCAGTTTTCTCTCTTGCCTTCTGATCTTTCCATCTCATTTATTTTTCTTGTCTTATAGCATTTGCAAAGACTTCCAGGACTGTGTCAAATGGTAAAGTTGATTGATTCTCATGCACTGTACATCACAATCCTCTAAGATGACTTATCTCATTATGCCCATTTTATAGAGGGAGAAGCTGAGGCAGAGAGAAGTTACTCTCTTGCCCAAGGCCACACAAACAGTCAAACCAGGATTCCAACCAAAGCTTGTGTTCTCAACCACCGCCTTAAAAGAAAACTCAACAAGCATTCTATATATTTTTTCCAACAGGCAAAATACCCTGCAAGTTTCCACAGGGACCTCTGAATCTTGGATGAGGAAGGTGGGGGAGTGCTGAGGTGTGGTTCTGGCTCCGCCCCCTTGCCTAGACTCAGTTTCTTCTTGTGATGGAGGGTTGGAAGAGATGGTATCTGAAAGCCACAGAAACTCCGCCTTTGGAGTGGAGGAGACAGGCCCCCAAATAGATTGTATTCATTTCCTGTGGCTGCCTAACAAAGTACCACAAACTTGGGTACTGCTTGGTGGCTTAAAACAACAGAAATTTATTCTCTCACCGTTCTAGAGGCCGGAAATCCTAAATCCAGGTGTCTGGCAGCAGGGCCACACTCCCCACGCCCCCCGAAGATTCTGGGGAGATCCTTCCTTGCCTCTTGCAGCTTCTGGTGACTCCAGGCACTCCTGGGGCTTATGGCCAGATCACTCCAGTTTCTGTGTTGGTCTTCACGAAGCTTCTCCTCTACTATCTGTGTCCAATCGCCCTCTGCTTTTCTCTTGTGAGGACACTCGCTGTTGGGTTGAGGGGCTGCTTGGATAATCCAAAATGATCTCATCTTGAGAGCCTTCCCTTAATTACATCTGCAGAGACCCTTTGTTCAAATCAGCTCACATCCACAGGGCTCAGGTGGACATATCTTGGGCGGGGAAGGGGTGCATCATTCAACCCATTACACAGATCAAACGAGAAAACTGAGAACAGGGAAGTACGCGGCAGAGTTTGGACGGGGAGGTGTCCAGAGCTTTGTGATTGCCCGTTCCAGCGTGGAATGGTGGAGCCCCCTCCCTTGAGAACCCAGGTGACCTGTATGTCCTACACAAGGCTGTTAGAGGTTGTGTGTGCTGCCTACGTACTCCGGACATCTTCCACTTCGAGGATGGGAAGTCTTGAAGGGAGTTTTCCTTCTTCAACTGTTTTAAAGATTTTATTTATTTGAGAGAGAGAGAGCAGGGGGAAGAGCAGAGGGAGAACAAGCAGACTCCATGCCGGGCACAGAGCCCCATGGGGGGCTTGATCTCATGACCCTGAGATCATGACCTGAGCAGAAACCAAGAGCGGGATGCCTAACTGACTGAGCCACCCAGGTGTCCCCCATTCTTCAACTGTGGGGTCGAGGGACCTTCTCTTGCACAAAAACTCCAAACAATAGTAAAAGCACTTTACAATAGTAAAGCAACAATAGTAAAAACACTCACACAGCACTTAATTATGCCAAGCTCCATTCTAAGTGTTTATTTTTATTTTTTTAAAGATTTTATTTATTTATTTGAGAGAATGAGAGAGAGCCCAAGAGGGGGTAGGGTCAGAGGGAGAAGCAGACTCCCTCCTCAGGGAGCCTGATGCAGGACTCGATCCCGGGACTCCGGGATCATGACCTGAGCCAAAAGCAGTCGATTAACCAACTGAGCCACCTAGGCACCCTAAGTCCCTAAGTGTTTAATATCTATTAGCTCACTTAATCCCCACAAAATCCCTATGAGTTCCTTTTACAGAAGAATAAACTGAGGTGCCAAGAGGTTGGAATTACAGGTTGGAAGTCACAGAGCCAATATTAGAACCCCGCAGTCTGGCTTCAGAGTCTAGGGTCTTTTTTTTTTCTTTTTTTTTTAAGATTTTATTTATTTGTTTGACAGAGAGAGAGAGTACATGCACATGAGCAGAGGAGAGACAGAAGCAGACTCCCTGCTGAACAGGGAGCCTGGTGTGGGACTTGATCCCAGGACCCTGAGATCATGACCTGAGCCAAAGGCAGATGCTTAATTGACTGAGCCACCCAGGGGCCCCAGAGTCTAGGGTCTTGACTGTAAGCCAAGACACTGTCTCTTGGGGGCACACTGTCATGTGTTAAATCTGGACTTTGAGGGGAGCACCTGGATGGCTCAGTCAGTTAAGTGGCTGGCTCTTGATTTCAGCTCAGGTCATGATCTCAGGGTCGTGAGATTGAGCCCCATGTGGGGCTCCACATTTCAACACAAAGTCGGCTTGAGATTCTCTCTCTCCCTCTGTCCCTCCCCCTGCTCCCTCTCTCCCCTTCTCTCTCCCTCTCTCTCTGAAATAAATAAATAAATCTTCAGGGGCAAATAAATAAATAAAAATATTTATTTGACAGAGAGAGACACAACTAGAGAGGGAACACAAGCAGGGGGAGTGGGAGAAGCAGGCTCCTAGCTGAGCAAGGAGCCGGATGTGGGCCTGGAACCCAGGACCCTGGGATCATGACCTGAGCCGAAGGCAGACGCTTAACGACTTGAGCACCAGGCGCCCCTTAAAAAATCTTTTAAAAAAATCTGGACTTTGGGGCACCTGGCTGGCTCATTCCGAAGGACATGTGACTCTTGATCTTGGGGTTGTGAGTTTGAGCCTCATGTTGGGTGTAGAGACTATTAAAAAAATAAACTTAAAAAATTGTGGATATTAAGTACACGTTGATATAATGTTTGCATATATTTGGTTAAATAATATACACAAACAGAATTATTTTCACCTGTTTCTTTTTACTTTTTTTTAGGGTGGCTACTAGAACATTCAAACTTAAACACGCGGCCTGCATCGTATTTTTCACGGGCAACTCTGGTCCATGGAATTTGCCCTCAGCACATTCTCCATCTGGGGCCACTGAACCTCGGGATTTCTTATGATCTGCTAGAATAATCCATGCCAGAAGTACCTTCAAGTGGAGTGACTGACACTCGTGTCAAAACGTGGCCTCTAAAGGATGTTCTGATATCCTTGCTGCCATCAGGCCCAGATTGAGAGGATTTTCTGGCCACTCTGTATATAGAGTTTATTTTTTATTCATAAATTACCTAAGTGTGTGTCTCTACTGAAAATGCTATAAAATAAACTCTTACAAAGCTGAGATAAATACTCAACATAACTGGACAAGTCAGGCTGCCTCAAGGTTGAGAATTCACGTCCTGACTCTGTCCCTTCCCTGGCTGTGATTCCTTTGGTAAGTCACTTGTCTTCACTAGGGCTCAGTTCCTTCATCCAGAAAGTGGGAATGTTTGTTTCTGGCCCTGAGGGGTATTGGGGGAACTCCGTGAGGTAAATGTGCAAGGCGGGGGC